AAGAATTTCAGCATTCTATTTTTGAGATATAATCTTGGACCCTATAAGCACTATACTTTGGGATCATTAGAAAAAATTAAGGAATCCCAACAAGTCCGTGTTCACACTCCACCTCCATGTATATGTTAGAGTAATTTAATTCCTGTCCAAAGACACATTCATAAAAAACCCGAGATCTTTAGACTGTCCCCACTTCCATCTCTCTCAGAAGATTGCTTCAGGCCCAATTTTTTCATGTTACTTATCAAGAAGAACTAAGAATTTTTCAGAAGGAAGACGAATCAACTAATTTCCACCCTTTCAGAGCTATCCTTATATAAACTTGTATGTTATGAAAATCTTAGCCACATATACTCATGATCTTGATCATGTAAAAGCAAATCAATTTTATTCCATAAAATGGCTATTATTATTATTATTTTCTTTTAGAAAGGAAATTCTTTCACCATCCCTTTTTATCTATACAACACATACATATACACACAAATGCTTAAATCTAATTAAATAGTAAAAATAAGAAATAAAAAGATTCCAGACTAATAATGCAAATGAAAGCATAACAAATATGTGACCAATTAGATCAGGCCTGCTGATTCTAATGGGAGGGATAAAATGGAGAAACATAAATTAATTGAGATGTTCAGGTCTGTTTTTGTTTTGTTGGGAGAGTATGGGTTTTGATTTATTATCCTATTACTATTAGAGAGAAAGGCAGGCTGGCATTATGGATAGGACTCCGACCTCAGAGCCAGCCATCTGCCTAAGTTCATATACAACCTCTGACACATACCTGCTGTGGGGCCTTGGGCAAGCCACTTAACTTCTCAGTGGACCCAGACAATTCAGTAATTCACTAAGTTATACAACTGTTCCTGGTCTGTTTTGGTAGAGGGAGTTTCTTTGCTGAGGAGTTCTTTACACAAGTGATGTCAAACTCAAATAGAAATAGGGCCGTTAACCGTACCTAAGGATTCCTGCCTGCTGCATATTGACAGTTTTAAAATGTAATACTATGTATGTTTTATTGTATTTTAATTTACTTTGTTAAATATTTCCCAATTACACTTCAAACTGGTCTGAGCTGTACTTGACTATATTGTGGGCCATGTGCATCCCTAGCAGGAAGTTTGACACCTTGTTTTACATAGGACATCACAGATTCAGACAAAAAGAAAACAACTCCAAGTACAGAAAGTCATTATCACAATGAAATGAAGACAGTAATAGCATCTCTCTCCCAGGATTGCCATGAGTGTTCAGTGAGATAAGGCATATAAAATAAATGTGTCCACTCCTCTAATTATCATTAATCTACTTCCATTTCAGTTTCAGGCTTTCTTGTTAACTTCTAGAGAGAGAAGCAATCCACTTGAAAAGTTATTATTATTATCCAAGACTAGATAAAGTAGACAAAACTGCTCCTTCTAAAAGCCTGAGACTTTGAATTTCCTACCTTGAAAGACCCACTCAAAAGTAAACTGTAAATGGAAAAGGAAATATCAAAATACATGACATTCTAGAAGGCAATTAAGCAAAAGAATGAACAGGTGACTTCATAGTTGGCGTATATCATATTGGTATATAGTGATAAGACAGTGAATTCATGGAGATAAGAGAAAATTCTCTGGATAGATAGATATACGTATATACACACACATACACTATATATACACACATGTAGATTTTTACACACATACACATGTGTATATGTTTATATATGTATATATGTGTGTATATACATATGTGTGTATACATATGTATATATAATATAACCTCAAATACTTCCACAGATAAGGAAGATAATAAAAATCATTTACATTTGGCCCTCTATGATATCAACAGACAAAGTCTTCACATGTTACTGACAATGATAACATCAATGAAATATTACATTTGTAATCCCTGAGAATGTTTTAAAACGGGGACATCGTTAACCAGATTCACTCAGCTTACAACATAGACACTTTAGAAAACAACTTTAGGGGTAAAATTGCTCTCAGTCATTACTCCTTTAGAGTAAGCTCTTTAGGATTTTTGAGAGAGAAGGAGAAATACTAGACATAAACTAATTTACTCACTGGGAGACCCCAATACCCTCTGTAAGTTGGTCTCTGATTTACAGGAATTTAAGTGTCAGCTTCATTGCCCCCTGCACTCCAAAGTACTTAAGTAGTAAGGATCTCCCTTTCTTGGTTCAAGATCTGCTTTGGTTGCCCAGACTATGTATTATATATTTTCCCTGTGCAGATGTCCCCAGAGCCTATATGAGAAAAGCTGCACCCAAATGATGTCAGTTTGGTTTAGACAGAGAGCTCGTCAGTTATTCTAACTAAACTTTTCTTTTTCCCACTTCAAAGCTCCTGAAACCAACTATATTAAACACACAATTTGTATATTATGGAACAGGTATTATTTATTGCCATAAATCATGATTTCTGCTTCATTTAGAAACCTATGCAAGACATTCTATGGCCTTCTCCATTTTGGTGCCAATTTTGATTTATTGGGGCTTACATGTAAGAGAAAGAAAAATGAACATCTTGAATGGAAAGGACTTTCCTATAAATTAGCTATCATGACATTTACCCTAAAAAATGCTAGTAATGTGGATTTGAACCACCACATATGTGTGTCAAATTATTTTTACTCCTGATTAAAATGACAAATGCTTTGATTTCAGCTCCAATCAAAATATTTAACTGGGCCAACCAAACTTAAATATCCTTGCTAATAACAAATTGTAGCTTTAGTCACTGCTGAGGTTTTTTTTTTTAAGGCTAAATAAAAACATAAGTTTTCTTCGTTTACAACTTGAAAAATATACCAAATGTTGAAATATGGCTTTATTCAAAGTATTTTTGTGTGTTTGGCTTAAACCAAGGAAAATAAACCAATGTACTGTTCCCATCACTGTCTAGCACCCAGACATCTCTAAAAGCAACTGTACTCTCAAAATAAATGACACCTGTCATGCTAAGATTTTGTCATTTGGATTTGTTTTCAGAAGTGAGTAACTTTCTGATTTGAATAATTTATTAAGAAACTGAAAAAGTCTAATTAAATTTATTCATACATACATCTTGTGATCTGAATCTTTATTAATGCTCTCATCTAACACTTATACAAAACACTACCAAAAATAAATTCTTGCTAAAAGACAGCACTGCAAATGACCTTTTTCTGCCCAGTTGTATTCAGAAAAAATTGTTTCATAACTCTCAAGAAAAAAAAGAGTACAAATTCTGAGTGTTCTTATGATTATTCCTAAATGCTTTAGAATATTACCTTTCATTTATCTTATACTTATTTCAGGCATTTCAATCATTTCATTTCTATTAGAAACCCAGTGCTTTAGGGACTTGCCTAGTATTCACAGATGCAAAACAGCCCTATTTCTGAGATATGTTACCTGTCTTCCACTATCCTCTCTCCTTCCTCTGACTTTTGATTATTTTTAACAAAGTTCATGGTACCATCTTCATTGGGAAAGAAAGACATTTCTACCACTTTTCAAATATGACAAGGTCACTCAGACACATGAATGGAATGTTAACAGAATCCTCCTTCCCCCCCCAAAACAAAATAGATTCTCACAGGAAACTTAAGTCCAGCAGCTTTTCTGTCCCCTAACTCCTCCCCACAACACACACATACAAATTCTATAAACCATTTTTGGATCTGCCATGTGCACCCAACTTGGTGTGAAGTAAGCATTCAGAAAAATTTCTACTGTATTACATGACCTTCATTAAAGGGTTCTAAGTTTGGAATTCTTCTGCATGGGGATATTTCTATACATGGTACAGGACCAAAGATTCCAAATCCTTGTTTATCACACACCTTGTAAAGATCACTGCCACCCCACCCCCCCCTCACCCCCACTTCTCCCCACCCTTCTTCCATGCCTGTGAATATGTATGAAATACGCTCCATTCTTGATCTCTCAGGAGGAACGCTATAAAACCACAAACCCAGAAATCCCTCTTCTCCATCCCACCCCCCCAACAAACAGCAAACAAAACCCACTACTATAAAACAGCTCAATTGTGATTTCTTACTGTTTTGTATGATACTTTCACACACTTTATCTCATTTCATTCTTGCAACCACCCTGTGAGGATTGGGGCAATTTTACAAATGAGGAAACCGGTACAAAGGTAAAAATGACCTGCCCAGGGTTTATAGAATACTAAATTGCTAAGAATTGAGTTTGTCTGATTCTCTTCTTGTCCAGTGTTGTTGCACTATTCCATGTAGGGGTCTGCACAATCTCTCAGTTACAGTTTTATAAATCAACCTTCCATGGGATACCTAAGAAACCCAAACATTCAATTTACAATTGAGAGTGGGCTCATGGGTTTCTCCATGCTGGGACAGAGGTGGAACAGGCATCAGGTAAAAAGATGTCTTGGATATAAGACTGTAGGTGCAGTGTGGTACAATGGAAAGAACACAGATGCTGGAGTTACAGGGCCTGGGTTCAAAACATGCCTCTGCCACTTACTAGCTGGGTGACCTCCAGGCAACTCACATCCCAAGCCCTGAATTTCCTCATCAGTTAAACGAGGAAATTGGACAAGATAGTATTTGAGGTCCCTCTCACTTTACATTTGTAATCCAAAACCCTTCCTCTCCCCTGACTCTCCTTTTAGATGTCCCCAAACTACTGAAAAACCTTTCTCCTTGCTACAGACCACTACAATTCCTCTTTTCCTCTCTAAGAAAGAAGAAGGCTAAGGCAGCAGCTTCAACCAGCCTTACTTTTAAAAGCTGGTCTTGCCTTACATGAAATAACTGATGTCATCATAGGATTCCTGGTTCAAAAATTCCTTAAAGGCCAACCTTCTTCTTTTATGGGGGAGGAAATGGAGGCAGAGAAGGGCCCAAGCCACACAATGAGTAATGATAGGATCTGAACCCAGCTCTTAAACCAAACTGACTCATGCCTCGGCAGAGGCAGGAGCCTAGAAAATCGTGGGCCCAAGTAAGCCCTGGTTTACCTGCACCAAGGTCATCTGGGAGCCTAGAGCCAAGAGGATCTTCTCGGTCTTGGTGGGGTATGGGTTGTCCCGATGCTTGTAAAGCCACTGTTTGAGGGGCCTCGCCATGTCCTGCAGGGCCTGCCGCTTGTGCCTCACTTTTCCTCCGTTCTGCCGAGCCCTGGGAAAACCGGAGATGAGATGCAGGGTTGAATCAGTATAGCATGACAAATAATTAGAAATCCTGTTAAGTTCCTTCCCCTGTCCAGATACCCTGCCTCCTCTCTCCAGAAAGGGCTGGAGAGGGAAGCACACCATCGCCCACTCCTCTTCTTATCCCCTTCCAGGACGTCTAATCCCAACGCACTGGATCAGAACCTGTCCATTCCAAAGGCTAGGTCCTTTCCCAAGTGTGCATTGCTTTATACCATCCAGACTCAGGAACTAGCTAGCCTTGAACAGAGGTCAGCTGGCAACTGTAGCCTTCAGCAGACAGGGATAGCAACAGGAAGAAAATGCTGGGGTAGTTGTAGAATCACCTTGTTAGACCATTGGGAAACACAGAGGCTGGAAGCAACAAGGTAAATGAGGGTCGGGTAAGGTGAGGTGAATGGTGGTTAATGCCTTCTATGCGGGGAAAGGGGATTCTCAAGCTTGTGTTCCATGCTTGTCCTTAAGGGAAGAGGGGAGGGGTGTGTGTGTGTGTGTGTGATTGAAGGGAGGAGGGGGATTCGGAGAGGCCTGCCTTTGACCGCCCAGCTGCACTGTGCCCCTTCTCGCCAACCACGATCTCCTAAGCAGCCCATCTGGGGAGTAAGAGGTACTAGGTCTAGGACCTTTGCTGGTTCTTTAGAATTTCTTCAGGGAACCCAGACTTCAGTGTCCGAGGTTTCTCACATCCTATTTTATTCCACATGGTTACAGGAAAGGACAACACCATTTCCAAGCTTGTACAGCAGAAATATGATACGCAGAAATTGGGAGAAAATAAAAGTGCACCGTGGTTAGCACCCCAGGCCCCACTTGTTCTCGGCTCCAAGATGGGGATGTGGTCACGCTTTGGGTAGGCTTCTAATAATGAGGAGTTTAGCAGCTAACAGAGCTGAAGACTTTGGGGGAAGAGGATCGGGCGGTGTAAGAAGGGCCTTGTTGAAAGAAATAGATCTGGGGGAACAGGAGACCAGAAAAAGCAAAGGCGGCCCAGCAATGTTTCCAATAAAACGCCTGTTAAGGCTGGAAGCCTCCGACAAAGAGCAGGCGCAGGGCGGCTGTGCTGCCCCGCAGCCCCGGGAGGTGTCGCCCGTGGGCCGCCCGGAGCGTCCGGCGGCCGACTCCGGATTGTCGCCTGCTTCGTGGCCCCTTTGGGTTTCTGCCTTTTAAAAGACTTCATTTGAAATCTAATTCCATCGGAATCGCGGGTAATAAACTTCTGAAGAAACTTAACCTCGACTCTCCGGACCAGCAACACCGCGGAGCGCAGGAGCTGATGCAATTGTGAAGGTGCAAGGAGAAAGAAAGCTCGCACATGCCCCACATTAACCCAACTGGCCGGGCGCTAAACCCTATTAGGCTCCTGTCGGTGCCTCTGTCCCTCTCTCGGGAATGTTTTATCGGCTCTAAACCCTCGAGAACCCCCTCTCAGCCTCCGCCCACAGCAGCTCCTTCACTGAGCTAGAGCTCGAGTGCGGTCACTGCCGGCATGCGTTTCCTTCCACCCCACGGCTGCACTTCCTTCTGCCCTGCTAGGCTTGCCCACAGCTGGACAGATGCTCTGCAGAAGTTTGCCCTGAAAAGGGATGCGCTCCAAGGAGTCATCCTTTGCAAAAGTCCTCCTCTTACAGAGGGAAAGGAAGAAAGGAAGAAAGAAAAAGAAAGGAAGGAAAGAAAAAAGAAAGGAAGGAAGGAAAGAAGTAAAGAAGGAAGGAGGGAGGGAGGAAAGGAAGAAAGAAAACGAAAGGAAGGAAGGAAAGAAGAAAGAGAGAGAAAGAAAGAAAGAAAGAAAGAAAGAAAGAAAGAAAGAAAGAAAGAAAGAAAAAAGAAAGAAGGAAACTTTTAAAAAACCTCCTCTTTTTCTTTCTCTCTCTCTCTCTCTCTCTCTCTCTCTCTCTCTCTCTCTCTCTCTCTCTCTCTCTCTCTCTCTCAATCAGAAAGAGATTCTCCCAGTAGTCCAATCAAAACCGAAAAAGAGAATTCTCAGAAGCGACGAAGAAAGCTTTCCCCGGGGCTCGGGCCCTGGCTTTGCTTTCGGAATGCAGTTTAGCCATTCCCAGGCTTGCTTCAAGGATGCTCAGCCGCAATTGAACTGGGAAGGGGAATGCAGGATTGAAGGCTTACGGAATCCCTAAATTGGGCCTATTTAAGAGATTGGGATGGACCAGGGTAGAAAGTTAATCAGGTTAGAAGCTGACTCTGTCTTGAGAAGCAGATGATGAAAACCGTAAAATGTTAAGCGCAGGACCCCGGAGATGAAAACCAGCTACTTCAAATCACTGAGAGACAGAAACATGCTTCCGAGCTCTTTCACCAGAGCAATTTCACACACACACACACACACACACACACACACACACACACACACACACACACACACACACACTCCATATTTACTTTCCCACCACATAAGGATGGGAGCTAGTAGAAGGGGATAGGGGACATACCCTGTCCTCCTGTGTCTGAGACTGAGGTTATCTTTGATTGATGGGCTGTCGGGAATGACCACCTCCTGGTGGTGGTGGTGGGCCCCATCCAGGACCCCGTTGTAGGGTCGACCACCCCGCTCCCTCTCCTTGGCGCCGCTGTCCTCGAAAAGCACTTGGCTACTGAGCTTATTGAAGACGATGGTGTTCATGGTCCAAGCTGGGAGGCCGTAGCTTTGCGGCCGCAGCGACTAGGAGACGTGCAGTTTGGAAGTCCAGATGACTTGATTTCTGCGGAGAAGAAGGCGCATCAGGTTACTCGAGGAAACAGTTCACATCCCAGCGAGTCCCCAGGACCGAGAGAGGGATTTCGAGGCTAACTTGGCCCAGAGATCTGGCTCGGAAGAGAGTCTGGGGTTGGGGGTGGATGGGTGGAAGTAGGGGCGGAGGGAGATGGGAGAACGTTTTGAATAGACAGCATCGCACCTGGGCTTGGGGGCGGGGGTACTTGCCCGGTCAGGCCATGCCCGGATCATCACCTCCCTTTTTGGGGGCAAACTTTCCCTATTGGGCTACCGACTACATCTACTCTGGTTTTACCTAGCAATCAGGCTGAACAGTCACCCACAGACACCTTCATCACTACCCCCAGTCTTCCTCTAAGGATTCGGTGTGAGGATCGGGGAATAATTTAGAATGTCCCCCTCCACCGTGGGGGGTTTTGAATTTTTAAAAAAGAGCCATCCTTTCCAGAGGTTTCATTCTGAGGAAAGCACACTGCAGAAGATGGGGGGGGGACCGAATGGCGGAATATGCAGGGGCTGTTGCCTCAATCTCCCCTAGTTTAGACCCGGCACTGCCAAGGAAGTTAAAGCAGATGCTGCAGCTGGGAAGACAGGATCACGAGAATCAATAATCTAAAGAATCAAGCGACCAACCGGGATTGGGATATTTTTATTGTGTCCTAATTCCGGATGTTTTTAGGCACAAACTCCATACTGGACTCGATCCTGGATTAAGAAATCAGGGCTGAGGACTGAAGTTGAATGAAGAAGAATGATTGACTCTAGACCTGGAAAGTAGAGTCAGTCAGGGTTGGGTCAAAGTCCCTTCTTCATCTCTGCAGGCGCTGCAGTGCCCAGGAAATCCTGCCAAGCCCTCTTTTCCTCTGGACAGTGAATTCCCAGGATCCTCCACACTATATCAGCCCCCACTTCTTCGCCCCATCCCCCGACACAAACACACACACACACACACACACACACACACACACACACACACACACACAGAGGCAGAGGAGCCTTGGCCAGCTGCTTTCCTACCAATAAGCCATTCGGTGAAACCGGGTTCCCACTTCCTAGATCCCTCACCACTGGGCAATAGCATTTCAAAGGCTGCAGACGTGAGGAGGGGAAGAAAGAGTCCAGGGAGCTTGCTCCCTGGGCAGTCCGGGCCCCACTCTTGCCTTTTCCTCCTCTCCTCTCTCTTCCAAGCTTACAGCAGCAGCCGCCTCCTCATTTCCCCCTCCCCCACCCCCCAGGCAGGCAGACCCGCTGCTTGTTGGCCCAAGCTTCAGCCTCGTGGAAACAGAAACAGACCGCCACGCTCACCTCCGAGGGGCGTGATGTTTTGTCTGCAGCTAGCATGCATTTGACCGCCACCAGGGAAACGTTAGGGAAAGTTTCTCATTGCCCAACCTTGAGCTGTATTACTGAACTTCAGCTTGCGGCTGGTCCCCTTCGCCACCCCCCTTCTCCTCTCACAGTCCCCCCTTCCCCAGAGTCTCTGGGCATCTCTTGTTTCATAAAATCAGCCCCCACCCCCTTTCCTGTAGCTGCTGAGGCAGCCTTAGATGTCGCCTTGGCCCTCGTCCTCCCCCCTGCGTTTATACGCGCGTGTGTGCGCGTGCACACACACACACACACGCACACTCGCCCACCCTCTCCCGGCCCATCACCCCCAGCCACAGCTGCAGTAGCAGCCCTTCTACGGTATTTAGGGCTGTGCACACAGAAATTAAAAAGATGGCCACTGTCAATATTTGTAAGGAGGTAATTCAGACGGTAGGCTTGGCTGCACGGTAAAATACAGCATGACTTGACGTCTGAGTCTTCCAGGAGGAGACAGGTACATCACTCTGCGAATGAGTGTGAGAGAGAGAGAGAGAGAGAGTGTGTGTGTGTGTGTGTGTGTGTGTGTGTGAGAGAGAGAGAGAGAGAGAGAGAGAGAGAGAAGAGAGAGAAGAGAGAGAGAAGAGAGAGAGTAGACACTGGATACATGTTTGAAAGTCACATCCTCAGATTTTCCACGGTTTGCTGCCTCTGCGCTACAAGCTGCTTCTTTCTCCCTCTTTCCCACCTCCCCGCCCCACCCCCCACCTCCAGCGCTCCATCGACTTTAAAAACAACAACACATCTCCCCACCCGCTACTACCTGGTGGGGGTGGGGGTGAGGGGTAGGTTTGTTGGCGTTTTGGTGATGGGCTTGTTTATTCCGATTGACTAAGGAAGCGGCCCGGGAGGTGCAGGTGAGGATGGAGGTGGCGGCTGCAGGGTTGGGGGTTGGGGGAGTGATTGAGAAAAAAGTGAAAGGCGGGGAAAGGGTAACTCTTGAGGTCCCGAGGCGAAGGGACGCGTAAATAACTGTCTCGGTGACCGCGAGCTAACCAAAAGAGAGACCGCCAGCTCCCAGTTTAAATTCCCACTCGGGGTCTCCCGGGAGTGAATGGCTGCGCTCCACGCCAAGCCCCTTGCCGGATTTCCAGGTAGTTTATTCCCAATCGCTCCTGGCACTCTTACTCGTTCACCTGAACCCTGGATTTGGGTCCCAAAGCCTGCGGCTGTTCGCTCGCTTAAGAATCACCATCGAAGATGCAGCTGCTGTCAGATGGTAATCTCGACTTCCCGACCCACGGACCTCTCTAGCTCTCCCCGACGCTTCCTCCGCTTTCAATCTACAGACTGGCGGGCTTGGGTCCGCGCCCGGTCGCAGGTCGAACGGGCGCGTTGGACAGACCCTGTGAGGCGCGGCTACTTTGCCCTGCATGCGGGGCCGGAGCGGACAGCGGCGTCGGCCCGCGGCTGCCCCAGCGCTGGCCGGCCCTCCAGGCTAGCGCTTTGCAGCCAGGTCCTCGGCGAGGCGCGAGGGAGGAAGAAAAGCCGGGCAGGGACGCGGGATGCCCTCCGCTCTCCTTCTCAGCCTGGAGTCACGCACAGGCTGCTCCCCAGCCTGCTCTCCAGCCAAAGTCGGCCACAGCAGCCGAGCCCGCTTTAGGGGAGAACCACTACTTCCCCACCTTCCCCCCAACCTCGGGAAGGTACCTGTTGCCGCGGAATCCAGTGGCTCTCTTCCGCGGGTAATAATCCAGCTTGGTTGCTATGCTCGTTCCCATCCCCACCACATGTTTTCTATGCATAGATCCCGGGCGCTAACCACACGAACCGCGTCCGCCTCCGCGCTTTATTTACCAAGCGGGCTGTGCGCGGCCCCGGAACATGGATAGAAAGACCTTCTCATGTTTCTCAGCTGCGGAGCTCAGCTCATGAACATCCTGCCATTGCGGAATCCACCTTCCCGGGCGGCGCCGAGGGGAGGACGCTCGGCCACACAGTGGAGGCGATTGTTAACTCCCTCAGATATTGTCTGCCTCCTCCCCGGCCAGCGCTCTTTCTAGTTGAGAGAGGGGCTCTCGCCTGGGCGTCCCCGCAGCCCCTAGGGGACCCTAGCGCAGGCTCCTTAACTCAGAGGAAGAATCCCCCACCCCTCTCCCTACCCCGAAATCAAGCGCTCATCGTCTTCTGGAAGAATTCAAATCACTCGTGGGCCCTGGGTACAGGCCTTCTAAAGAGATGGGGAGCTCACGAATTGCCCCCGAAGACCCAACTCCGCCAGGGCCTCGACCTCTAGGACAAATTTTAGCCAAGGGCGTCTAGTGATGTTTCCTTTCAGGGATTTCTTTGGGTTGAGAGACTGGTTTTGTTTAAGTGCCTAATGTGCAATAGTAGGAAAAAAGGGCTGAGTTAGAATGAGGGAGAAGACACTGTCACCAGGGAATGTGTTCTGTTCGGCCGGGGGGCACAGCCCGCATTTCCTTGTGCGTTTTGTCACTCAAGAACCTCCAGAGAATCGGGCCGTGTCTGTCTTCCCAGGGACACTGGTACTCTATAGCACCAGTGATTACGCTGCTCTGGTTACGTTATCCCGCAGAGATGCTCTTACTCCGGCATCAGACGGGCAGTCAATGTCATTCCCAGTCTGCCTGCACTAAAACAGCTACGAAAAGTGCGGGGTGTGCGTACTTGTGTCTGAGTGAATAAGAGACTGTCGGGAAATGCCTTAGGGAGAGGGAAGAAAGGGAAAGTCTGTGGAGATGTGGGTGTCATTCAAGCGTCTGCCAGGGACACTGGGCAAGATTGAGGTTTAGTTCCTTAAAATAATGACATCTATATATAAGGTTTCAGAACTCACACAGCGTTTCACATAGAAAACCGCATTTGATCCCCACAATAACTCGGTGAGGTAGACGCTGCAATAGTAATAATGATGCCTGTTTTACAGATGAGGACATTGAGGTTCGGAGAGGTGTTCACACAGCTAGGAAGCGTCAGAAGGATATGAATCTAGGTCTTCCTCACTGCAGGTTCTGCAGCAAGCCACGCTGCCTACGCTGCTCGCTGGGAACATGTTCTGAGTACGAAATTAGTTTTAGGAGACCAGGATTATGGATGGGGGCAGGGTTAGGCGAGTTGAGACAGGGTTGGGAGAGGACAAGTGCAGCAAAATAGGTGACACTCTGGAGTTCCCAACAGCTAGCTAGCAGCACAGATGAAAAAGAGAAGTAAACGAGTGACTGGGCAAAATGATCAGGAAAATAATTGTAGTCAATTCACCTAATAAGCTACTTTAATACTCAGAACCTGTGCCGCACCCCAGCTCCTGAGGTTTAAGCGCCCAAGCTGGCCAACCAAGGGGGCTCAAAAGTTCCTTAGTTCCTTATCAGTCTCCAGCCTGGCTCACCAAGTCGCTTCTGTTTACTCGCTTGGTTTCCTCTAGCTGGGCCGACAACTCCATGGCAAAGGCACCTTTTGTTGTTTCGTGAATAAAAAAGAAAAACCCGAGTTATCAGAAACCCGGAGGATTTTTAATCCTTCTCCCCTCCAAATTTAGGCAAGTCCAAGACAAGGCCGCCTAGAGATTTTTGAAAAGCTCATCTTTAAAAATGTTATTTCTGAGACCATTAGTCTCAGAAGACTCTTGGAATTTAAAATACTTTCTTTCCACACGATCCTGGACAGATATAATCAGGGGGCCTCATATGTAATCTAAGCAGAAAGGCAAAAATTAAAGACTTGCTCCCCAAATTAGAAAATATGTCACGCCAGCCAAATGTTAACCATCATCCTGATCATATTCTCAATTTCCCCTTTTCCCCAGTTGTATTCATAACTCAGAGAAATCCCATGTGGAATCATTTACACGCAAGCTCCAGCAGGTCCTTGGTGAAGCTATGTTGGCTCCGTGTGTAACTCGATAAAAAGGAGGTTTTACTAAGACCTGGGAAGACCTCTGATTAGAAGCCCAACATGCGATCACACACCCTAAATTGTACCGTTACATACACCTTGCTGTCTGAGCTCCTAACTTTCACTGGACAGGTTTGCCAGATGTTTCAACAAAAACAGACTACACATGTGGTTGCTGGAGAAACCTTAAATTTCATAGTCTCTCTCTCTCTCTCTCTCTCTCTCTCTCTCTCTCTCTCTCTCTCTCTCTCTCTCTCTCTCTCTCTCTCTTAAAATAATTTCAGTCCTTGTTTTATAAGATGATTGAAAATGTTCACTGCTGCATGTGATGAAAATAGGCTAGCATGCTGATGGCATATTTTTAGTTGGTAGAAACATCAGTAATATTGTACACAGATGTTTGGTGTACAATTATTCTCATCTTATTGACACATTCATTGTACTGTTAAATTGAGGGAAACATATTTTGCCTTTTTACTAAAATAAGAACTAGAGTTAATATGGTTATAGTATTGTCAGTGTATTTACAGAATTTACACATTAGGGGATCTTTTCACATAAGATTTATTTTTTTCAAGACGATGTAAGCTCTAGGGTTTACTCTTTCTTCAAAATCTCCATCTGTTTTTAGTATAGGAATAGCTCATACCTTAGCAATTCTCAAGTTAACGCACTGAAATGTTGATTTATGATTATTCACCTGAAGGATGGCTTGGTAGAGGAGACAGCTTGACTTAGGGTATAGAGTGCTGACTTCCAAGTTTTGAAGACTTGTTTTGAATCCTAATTTAAATACTCAGTAGCTGCATGACTTTGGACATGCCATTTAATTTCTCAGAGCCTCAGTTTCCCCAACAGGAAAATGGAAGAAATAATAACATTACCTCACAGGATTGTTGTAAGGTTCAAATATATGTCATGTATTATATAAACGAGTTTATTTTTCAATGGTACATTTTTAAATGAAAAAATCCCTCAGAGTGTCAGTGTCAGTAATAAAAATCAACATATACTTTTTTTCTAGACTAAAATATTTTTCTTTTGCAGTCTTCAGATGAACAAATTCAGTAAGTTTAAATTTTCTGCTTCCTATCCTATAGCTTAACATCTTGTATTAATTCATGTTATCATACTTTACTTCATATGAATGTAAATTCTATTCAGCAATTTCCCACACTACATCAAACACAGTGTTTCAAATGGGTGGTATCTGAATTATTACTCTGAAATAAGGAATTTTGGTTTTAAAGGGCAAACATTAATAGATTTAAAAAATATTAAGTGTTTGGTGGGGGCAGTTACCATGAGTAGTATAATTCTGATGTGGCACTGGACAAATAATTCAATTGCTCCAAGTTTTAGCTTTCTCATCTGTAAAATGGGGAGAGAATAATACCTGTATGCCAACCTCATAGGGCAATTGTGAGGATGAGAACAGGTTTGTGAAAACATAAGGTAGTAGTATTATTATTGTGGTAGTGGGATTTATTTTAAGAGGCAGAGATATCAAATTAAGATAACTTCAGGTCTCATGCTCTACTTCATGGGACTTAAGACAGCTGTAAAACCCAAACACTTATTTTTTACCTTCTATTGGGGAAGGGAGAGGTTTTGTTTTAGAAATCTGACATTTAACTTGAGAATCTTGCTGTATGCGGTCACTGTTTCCACTCGTGCTTTCAGAAAGCAATTTTTATCTTTTAGGCCCCATCCCAGGAGTCAGTAAGTAATCCAAAAACAGGGATGACACATTTGAAAGACTGATGTGACTGCTCTTCTCCCTCTAACATCCCTCTCCCCATCTCCTCCCCACGTGGGGTAAAGGAGTGAATAGATGGATGGACAGATGGATAGACAGCAGGCTCCCATTCCAGCTGGCTAATCAGACCATTAGAAATCTGCATTTTGAAGGAAAGGCTGGGAAAACACAGAAGGTTGAGAAGTGAAAAGACCAGCCAAACAGCATGAGTTGAGCTTTAGAAGCCACTGGCTGGGAAACATCTAACAAGCCTTCAAGAGTTGAGCTGTGTATGAACTACCCACCAGTCTCTTGTAAATTTCATCCTCACCCTCACTTTTCTTTTTCAACTCCCATTCCAAAAACTTCCAATAAAAATGAAGGCTATTCTGTTACTATTTTCAGAGCACATTAAATATCTAATTAGAAATGTGCATTGCATGGTTATGGCTTTAATTAAAACTATTGAACCAGCTCTCTTCTGCAGAGCAAATCAGTGAATATCAGTTTAGGAGCAAGTGAAAGATAACCATTTGCACTCGCTGCCTGGGTTTCTTCCTATAACAGAGTATGATAGAACTGAAGAGCCACTGAAATCTTACTTCTGATCAAATTATTCAACAAAATACTGACAGCACATTTGTTTTATTGGACCAGACATGTGATCTCCCTTATCTAGGAAATTTCTAGTGAGGAAATTCCTTCTACCACTGCAGATATAGACCAGCAACTCCTCTATAACCTAGAGTCTTAGAAAGCTGCCTCATTCACTGATGGCTTAAGTGATTTGCTCAAGGTCACCCAGATAGGATATGTCAGAGGTGAGACAGATTTGAACTCAGGTCTTACCATCTTTTAGACCAGCTCTTTATCCACTCTATCTACTACCATGCTGCCACTCTCCAAAATAATATAAGAAACAGTTAAATCATAACAGTATATGATTTAAAGAATGTTAGCATTAGAAGGAACCTTATAGTTTGATTTAGTCCCTGCCTTTTACCAACAAAGAAACTAAGGCCTAGAAAAGTGATGTGATTCCCTAAAGGTCATTTAGTACAAAAGTCAGGGAGAAGGTCTAGGTTTCTTTTTCATTACCTCTATTGTTGGGTTTTACTTTATGTTGGAGTAAAGGATAGAAACTAAAAGCAAGTTTAAGCTTAAATTTCGTGTTAGAGCCCCCAATCATTATGAGCAATTTATTCTAAGTTGTTAAAAATTTAGCCTTTATAAAATTAAGCATTTTAATTTTAAAAGAAGAGGGAAGAAAAAAATAGAGGGAAGGTCTTTGGAACAAAGGGTAATTAAGAATATCTAATTTCTAGAATCTTACTCAAGGCA